AAAGACTGGGAAAGCAACTGGGGAGAGAAATCAGGGAAAAGCAGCGGGGAAAGAAGGGAAAGACAGACATGGAAAAAGAAAGGGAAAAAAAGAGAAGCAGAGGGAAAATTCAAAGCTGAAAGATGGGACAAGGAGGGAAAAATGTGAAAAAGGAGAAAAAAGTGTAGGAAGGGGAGAAGGGAAAGGGTGGAAAGCAGGAAAGGGGAAGGAGAAGCACTGAGAAAGGACAGGAATTTGGGAGGGGGGGAGAAAAGATTTTGAAATGTTGGACTTAAGACAAAGCTCCATCACTGTTCCCACGAAGGAACTCTGTGACATCTCTGCTTTTGCAAGCCCTGGCTCCTGAGATTCCTGCATTTCTCCTCCCAGGTCACTGAGGCTGTGACACTCAAGCTTTGAGGAGTTCATTCCCAGGGAATGGGCACGGCCCCGAGGCTGCCAGAGCTCCAGGAGAGTTTTGGCAGCTCCAGGCTGCCAGGGGGGGCTGGAATGGATGATCCTTGGGGATCCTTCCCACCCAGAACATTCCATGATTTCATGATTGATATCCCTCAGCTAATTCTTGACTCCAAAGGTCTCCAAATTAGGAAAGGCTTTGTTGAGTTCAGCTCACTGTGCTTGTTCAGGATGAGCCTTTCCTCCTGTCTTCATCATCATCACCATCATCATCATCATCATCATCACCATCATCATCCCTGCAGTCTCAGAATTATTAATTCCATTTACCAGCTGCTGATATTGATGGGAAGGAGTCCTGGATTCCTGCCTGAGCTGTCTGGCAAGAAAATCTGAAGGAAAGGTGAGCTTGGAAACACGACAGGAAGTGATAAAGATGTCCCCAGCTGGGGAAGGGGAAGAGAAATCCTGAAGAAAGATTTTTTTATATTATTATTTTCTGTTTGAGATCTTCCATTAGTTTCTTCAGAACAAACAAATTCCATATTTAATTTTCCATATATCATTTTCCAGTCATTAACTCACTGGTTTTTGACAATTGACATCCATCAAATCCATTTCCTTTCTCAAGGGGAGGCCCACAGGAGGGGATTTGGTTCTGAATTTCTCATACCTTAGCCACGCTCCTCTGTTATTACTCAACACCACAAGCAATACCTATAAAATCTGAAGTTTTCAGAAACTGTCAGAATTCCTGTGATTTTGCAGAAGATTCATAAGTCAGTGCTCAGCAGGACTCAGTGATGATACAACAACAGATCTGAGAAGTTTTTAACCCATTTTTAACAGAATCAAAGAAAGCTTTGGGTTGGAAGGAACCTTAAAGTTCATCTATTTCCATTCCCTGCCATGGCAGGGACACCTCCCACTGTCCCAATGTCCAACCTGGAATTGGGCACTGCCAGGGATCCAGGGGCAGCCACAACCTTTGCCAGTGTTTTTCCACTCATGGTAAAAAATATCTTCCTTGTATTTAACCTAAATCCAGCTCCTTAATGTTGAAAGCCATTCCCTGTGTGCTGTCCCTCCATGCCTTGTCCCCAGTCCCTCTCCAGCTCTCCTGGAGCCCCTTTAGGTACTAGCATGGGCTCTGAGGTCTCTCTGGAGCCTTCTCCAGGCTGAAAAACTCCAACTGTGATTAACTCTGATGTTCCAGAACATAGACCATAAAATATAATGAACAGCAACTACAAACCCCCTCGGGTTTAGGCAGATCCCATAAATTTGACAGGGCTCCTATGGAGAAGTGCTGAAATCAAATCAAGGCATCTTCATCAGTGAGGAACAGCTCAACAGTTGACATGAGGTGGAAAACTAAAAACCAACTGCAAATTTCCAACATGAAGTTGTTTCTTTATGTTGTAGAACCCCACAGAAACGGGGATATTGAACAGAAAATCCCTGTTTGACCAGGTGCCTTCCTTTGCTGGGCAGGTATTGTGCACTTTAATATGAACCATTCCAAGTAAAACATCACAGAATCTGGGAATCCTTGGGGCTGGAAAAGCCCTCCCAGCCCCTGCAGTCCCAGCTGTGCCCCATGGCCACCTTGTCACCCTGAGTGCCACCTCCAGGTGCCACCTCCAGGGATGGGCACTCCAAAGCTCCCTGGGCAGCCCCTGCCAAGGCCTGAGCTCCCTTTCCATGGGGAAATTCCTGCTGCTGTCCAAGCTGAGCCTGCCCTGGCCCAGCCTGAGGCCGTTCCCTCTCCTCCTGTCCCTGTTCCCTGGAGCAGAGCCCGACCCCCCCTCCCTGCCCCTCCTGCCAGGGACTTGTGCAGGGCCACAAGGTCCCCCCTGAGAGAATTCCAGTAAATAAATTATCCAAAAGTCAGCCTAAACACCAACTACCCTCAAGAGAACAACTCTCAGCAATAATTCTACTCTGCAGCCACTTCCTTGTGTATCTTTGACCACAAAGCCACTTCCTTCCTACCCAAAAGTTCCAGACTGATCTTACTGGGATGAATTTATTCTATAAACCAACACAACACGTTCTGTGTCACCAGGCTGGAGTTTCCACTCACTCCCTTATTAGAAAGGATGTTCCTGATGGGCTTCAACAGGAATTCTTTCACAGGGGATCTTCAAGTGTCTTTTTTTCAGTTGTCCAGGATAAAATATAAGCACATGGATGGTGTGATGAAAACAAGGATGGCAGAGGGATAAATAATGGAGATGAGTCACATTTCCAGGTGAATTTAACCCTTGTGGAATCCAGGCCCCTCCAGACACCACTGTACTTACAGGATGGAATCTTAAATCCTGGCAGAGCAGCCATTCCCAAAGGACTGAGCAATCAGGATGGAGAATCATCTAAATTTACAATCTTTTAATGCAAAGAACTGAGGCTGAAAGGTTGAAAACTGCAATCCTGGGAGGGATAAACAGACAAGGAACCGAGTGAGAGGTTCAAGGATGTACCTGAACCTCCTGCCAGCACACAGCAGGACTGGCACCACTCCCAGGGGCTGTGTGCAGCAATTCCAGCTTTTACAATGGATTTGAAAACATCTGAGGTTTCAGAAGAGCCATAAGAGCTTTACATTTAAAGGATTTAAGGAGGTTAATCAAGTTAACATATTTTTATGTGGAATACTTTCAAACTGGAGTTGTTACTCGTCGTTCTGCCAGGCTCTGGTGGCCAGCAGCTGTAACTCAGCAGCCCCAGAACTGCAGGAAGACTGGAAATAACCTGGCTGAATCACTCCAGGGACAGGGAAAACTCCTCCCACTCGGCAGAACCTACAGGAAAATCAGCTTTTTCCAAACTAGGTCCTACTGCAGCCAAAGCAGGGAGGTGGTGATGCAGGAGGAACTGGGCTGGGTTCTGGGGATAACATAATGGAAGGCCAGTCCCAAAATCCCATTCCATGGCCACAAAACCAGCTCGTCTGGGATGGGGAGGAAGCTGCAGAGCACATCAGAACACTCAGACTAAGAGATGAGGGTTAAAGAACTCCAACTACAAGCACAGTCCATGAGAATCAAGCAGAGCTGTGTTCACACATCAGTGATTTGCAGACCTCGCTGGTTTTCAATTAAAAACTCCAAATTAGCTGTTACGCCTCCAACTTTTACTTTCATATTTTTAAGTCTGTTTCAATGTATCTGATATTTACATATTATAGTATAATTATACCTACCATACCATGGCTTGGAGTAGGTTAATTGCATAGGAAGACTTACTACGTTTACATTTTTTGTTGGTTTTTTTTTTTCCCTTAAATTACTCTCATTTTTTTTTTCTTCTTTTTTTTTTTTTTTTTTTTTTTTTTTTTTTTTCTTTAATAAAAATCACTGTAAAGAGTCTGAGGACAAATTATTCAACTGTTTATCATACATAAGACTGCATGACTATAATACAAAGGGCTTGTCTTTTCATTTAACGTTACAATATACACAGCAAGTCCGGACTAGATCTTACAATCTGAACACAGGTATTTAACCTTTTCCATGCTGTTTATGTTTACAATGCACAGAAGTCCTGTAACCAAACTGTGTAGTAAAGCACACAAAACTGGACTGTAACATAACACAGTATGCAGAAGCACTGGATTTTATGATTATTTTTTTTGTTTTTTGTCTTCTCGATGTAGAGGTTATTTCTTTGAACTGCTTTAGGTTTGGTGTGGGGTGGTTTTTTTTTTGTTTGTTTGTTTTTTGGTTTTTTTGGGCGCTTGCTAAAGGGGTGGCAACGGCGCGTGTGGTGTTACCCAAATTCCATGATACCCTTTTATTCCTAGACAGCAGTAAGAACTGGATTCCTTTTTTTTTTTTTTTTTTAAATATTGCTAAACTCAGCATCTTTTTCTAAGGTGACAGCCTTCCAAATCCTGTAAACTTCTCTGAATTACTGAGCTTTGAAAAAAAACAAAAAGAAAAACTAAAAAACATCAGAAACAAAAGCAAAAAATGGGGGGGGAAAAAAAATCTGCTTTCATCCACAGGGTTGATGTGTTGGTAAAAAAAGAAATATTTCATTAAGAAAACCACGATTTACAAAAAAAAATGCTAATTTCAATATTCATTCCCATTTACATGGTAGTCAGCTGCTGTGTTGCCACTTTTGAGTATAAAAAATTCCACCTTTTCGACTGAAAAAACGACTTGGCCGCATGGAATTGACCATTTGCTGCTAAAATGAACTTTTCCAAGGGCTTACTGGCAGAGGTAGATCACTGCTTCTGTAAGAGAGGATGGGCAACACTGTTCACCTGGGATGGGCAATCAAGGAACTCACCTTTGTTCTTTCACCAAGGGGTTTCTTTTCATGCAGCTTTTTTTTTGTTTTTCCTTTTCCCACCAAAAAAAGAAAAAAAAAAAAAAAAAAAAAAAGAAAAATAAAGAAAATCTCTTGGATGGGCCCATAAATTTTGCAACTGCCAAGCTGACTGTGTTATATTAAGGCAGCATTACCCAAAAATTAGGCACCTGTTAAATACAGCCTGCTAACCTCAGGTCTCCCTTGAGGGTTTTGCTTTACTCAGCCTATTATTTTTTTGGACCTGTTCATGCAATCAAGGTCTTTGCCTTCAAGTTTACAATTATGTTAATAAGGAATACAAGAATCAACTGCTGGTTTCATAGCTTCTGGATCTAGTGTCCCTTTTAACCTTCAGAAGCCTGAACACATTGATAATGTAACAGATGTTATAGTCTCCAAGTAGATGTCAATCTATTATCTTCAGTACACAGATTGCTGTAAATGTATTGGCTATGAATTCAACAACAGTTCCAGTTTTGTTTAAGCAATAGTACAGCCATAATTTTTCAACTGACATTTAAAAATGGTCTAGTTACACCTTGTGTCAAAGTGCAGAACTGCTACATTATTGGTTACAGACATCTATGTGCTATAAAAACAGCTTTGGTACAATAAATTATCAAAAAAGAAAATAAATTTTTGTAAAATTCACAGCATAATTGTGAGGCAAAAAAGCAGTCACATAAAATTCTGCATTTTTTTTTTTTTTAAAAATGTTCAGGATGAACAGAAGACGTCTTTGTGCAGAAGTAATGGTGGAGAAAACCACGTGCCGAGAAAAAGCAAAAGAAAAAAGTAAAAAGCAGGAAGGGACACAGTTGTAGCTATTTCCATCAAACGCAAACCACTACTCCTGTGACCTTCAACCAATAAGGAAGTCAACTTTATGACACACGCAAAGTGACCTTGCAATACCTTACAATAAGTGGGTCACAAAAGTCTATTTTAAAAGAAAGGCCTCTTGAATTACCCATTCTCTGTGTTTTCAGCATTAAGGACTGTCTGCAAAAGCATGTCCAAAAGTGATTGCATCTGAAATGGTAGGCTCTTCTAACTTAAGAGTCCAAATCCATAAGGCCAAAGGTTATCCCAAAGACCACCACTTAGACCTCCCCAGGACTGGCCAGGACCGACCCGTTGATTGCTTCTCAGTGCACCTCAGTTATGAAACCAGTCAGATTTCCATCCTAACTGCCCGTGGGCTCCCAAAGGTGGCACCCACAGAATTCCCATCACAATTGCTGCTTTGATCCTCAGTAGATTCAGAAAAGGAGAGTTCTGCTCACCGCCACTTCGCATGCTCAATGTGCCTCACAAACTCCGTCACAACCGTCCCTTTTTACAGCTGAAGAATAATATATTTGTGTAATCTGAAGGTCCCTCTTTCTTACAGTACTGCATTTCTGTGCCCATGGTTGTTTGGGGAACTAAAAAAAATATATATATTACTCACTCCCCCTCCCACCCACAAAACTTCAAAGGGCCTTTTTTTAGAAATCATGTGCAATGCCTTTAAAAAGAAACTAGCTTGCAACTATGACTAACATTTGAACAATAACCCCTGTCGAATGAGAGCAAAAAAAAAAAAAAAAAATTTAAAAATTAAAAAAATCAAAACCCCTCCCCAAAAAAACCAAACTATGACTAGGTTATGGCAAGTTAAGATGGGGGAAGCAAAAGGTGAACACCACTAAGCTATCCGTTAAGGTGGGTCCAGACATGGCTCTTAAAAAAAAAAAAAAACCAACCAAAAAAACCTCCCCCCAGCAAAAAAACCAAAAAAAACCAAACTTCATTGTCCCTTTGCAATCTTTTCAAGTTTAAAAAAATAGTCAACTTTGCCCTCCTGTAGCGGTTCAGTGAGTTTATCTCCTTCTGATTCAAGCAGCTTTGCACTTTGTTTTTTGGAAAAACACCACTTCTATAAAAACACACAAGAAACAAACTTAGTTTCAGTTTAGTCACGAGCTAGCCACAGGACTTTGCTGAACACAAACTCCTGTCATGGGAGACTCTTCTCTATCAATGCCTTGCCTCATGGCAAGGTGTCCTTCAGTCATGTAATGAGCAGGACCTGTATTAGCAGAAAACTGGTACGTGGGATGTCCAGCTATGCCAGTTTCTTGGCGCGGATTAGAGTAGACTGTTAAATTCATGTCCATAGCTCCGTTCTGTCCAAAGTCCAAGGTATTAGCAGCCACTGGGCGGTTCTGATAGGCCTGATTGCCTTGGTTACCAGTAGAGGAGGAAGATGTAGAGGAAGAAGTAGTTGAGGAAGACAGGGATGTCATGGAGTGGTGACTGTGGCCCACCTCCATAGAATCCTGGGTGGAGGAGCTGTTTGTTGGAGAATTGTAGACTCTCGGCCTGGTCCGGCTGCCCAAGGCTTGCTGTCCATGGTGGTGGTGGTGGTGGTGGTGATGGTGGTGGTGGTGGGAGCTGTTGCCATGGTGATGGTGTAATGCGTTCTGTTGCTGAGGGTTTACATGGAAGGTGGTTTCTTGAACCGGGTGGTTCTCCACGGTGACCTGGCTGGGAGCTTCGGTGGCTGTCCAACCAATGGGAGGAGGAAACTGCTGTCGAACCTGCACGATTCAAACCAAAATGTTGAGGCTCAAAGCTCTTATTTCACCAAAACACAGAACCACGAAGGCTGGAAATGACCTCCAAGACCACCCAACCTCTGACCACCTTGTCCACTGAGTGTCACATCCAGGCGGCTCTTGGACAACACACGAGGGATTACGTTATTTCTATTTATGCCAATTTTGAAAACTTTAACCAAGCCTTGCAGTTGCACCATTTTTCTAAAAATGCAGGCATGTACTTAAGAATAATTTCCAACACTTCTCTACCTTGAACAAAATATGAGAGATTAAGTTATTCATATTTATGCCTATTTTTTAAAACTTTAACCAAGCCTTGCAGTTGCACCATTTTTCTAAAAATGCAGGCATGTATTTAAGAGTAATTTTCAATACTTCTCTACCTTGAACAATATATGAGAGATTAGGTTTTTCGTATTTATGCCTATTTTTTAAAACTTTAACCAAGCCCTGAAGTTGCACAATTATTCTAAAAATGCAGGCATGCACTTGAGAATAATTTCCAATACTTTTCTATATATATCATAAGAAAAATGAATGCACATCCTGGATGTTATTTTCAAATAGTTAAAGGAGTTCTGATAAGTGACTTTGCTGTCAAAATTATAAGAGCAGCTTTACATTTCAGTAATAACAGCATTTGTACAACACTTAGCAAAATAAAGCCCTGACCTCTGGCTGAGGAGCCTGGAGACAATAAGCAAAGCAAATGAAATTAAAATGTCACAGCTCATACCTTGAAAAGTGCCAACAGCTTTAGAGGAACCTCTGGAACAACACACCTGATTAAAAGCTACTAAAAGAGCAAGATCAACCTACACACCAATTAATTGTCCACATGGGGGAGAATTTACAGTTTTATGTGCTCTGCACTAAGATGCTGTGCATTACCTGTGGGCTGTGTGTCTCACAGTCCATAGCCTGAACAGCAGCAGTGAAGTGCCCACCGCTGTGTCGATGCTGGTGTGTGGGGTCCGACCTCGCCCTTCCACTGTTGCTCGTGCCAGAAGATCCACCTGAAAAACCCCAACATGCCCAGTGACTAAAGGGACACACAATTTACAGCTATGAAACAGTGGCAGCATAAAGATTTATAAAGTGCTTCAAGGGAAAAGTATAAGATCAGTGTTAATCACTCACATTTTTGCTCATCTAGTTGGGTTTTTGGGGGTTTTCTGTTTACCTGTTCCAGCTGATTAAAATAACTGTTTAGCAATCATAACTGGTATTTTTTGACAGTATGGAAAAAAAATTAACATTTCACAGAATCATGGAATATTCTGAGTTGGAAGGGACCCACAAGAATCATCCAGTCCAACTGCACCCCAACAATCCCACCCTGGGCATCCCTGGCAGCGCTGTCCCAACTGGAGCTCTGGCAGCCTCAGGGCTGTGCCCATTCCCTGGGGAGCCTGAGCAGTGCCCAACATTAGGAAGCCAAATTTTATCACCTGTTCATGAACAAAACCCACCTGAGCTTGAAGATGTACTAGAGGTGGTTCCTGAAGACTGTGACTGCTCCATGGCAGGACTCGTGGACACGCTGTTACTCGTGTTGGTACCTTCGTCCGCCGTTTTCTTGAAGAAACTGTGCTGCAGGGCATAGTAGGGCTGGATTCGTGTCTTGGGGTCATAGTCAAGCATCCTTAAGATGAGGTCTTTGAACTTCAAGTAGTCAGCTACAGTATGACCTGACTCCCCAGCACGGCGCCCACCAGGCCCTCCTGTCTCAACTCCCAGGATATTGTGGAGCTTGCGAGTCGCCGGTGGTTTGTATTCCTGTGGGGAGGGAGGGAGGGCTTGGAATCAGTGTGTGAAGCCTTGGATGTGTGTGCACAGATAATATATCAAAAGAGTGTTTGATACTCCAAATCAAACCAGGAAACTATTCAACACGACAGGAAATGTTATTTAATTGACAAGACAGAACAAAATAAACAACAAATCTGTGTCTCCAATAAAACAACCAAAACAAAGTAACAACTCACCATTCTATATATTTTAAAATATATATATATGATTATCCTAATTGTTTTACCCACCCTTTTTCCATCTTTGGTCTTCTTCAAGTTCCAAGTGCTATCTGGCAACTTCTCAAAGAACTTTCTTGCTTTGGGTGCTTGGTCGAGGATGTGGGTTGGTGGTATCCCCAGGACTTCCACTATTTTATTCATCTGATCCACCTGTCCCAAATAAAATGGGTTTGTGAAGGACAAGTGACAGCCAGCCCAGCTGTGGCACAAGCTACTCGCACAAGTTCTAAGTTAATTAATTTAAGAAGAATTTAATATGAACAAAACAAATTAAATAGTAAGAGGGAGACAGAAAATTATGAACAGGCAATTTTACGTCTTGACAAAAATCCTGTTATTGATGTTTAATCCTTTCAGAATTAGCAGACTTCCCTAATTTATGCATTCCAATTAAACAGCTGAAAATCATGATGGGAATTCACAACAAAAAAACCCCAGCTCCTGGTATAGAACTCACCTCATTTGCCCCACTAAAGAGAGGCTCTCCAGTGTGCATCTCGACTAAAATACACCCAAGGGACCACATATCAATTGCAAGGTCATAAGGCATTCCCAGTAGCACCTCTGGTGATCGATAGAAACGACTCTGGATATATTGGTATATCTGCAATAAAAGCATCTCAAAGTCACAATCACACACAGCACCCCAAGGGAATGAAAATTCCAAGTGACAAAACACAACTGCCATGAAATCCCATTTTGGTGCAGGGAAAGATGAGGTATCAGGGATCATAAAATCTATACGTTCATTACAGTAATTAAAGTATCTAATTGTTAATTTTCAGGAAAATATGCTCATAAGAAAAAAGCAGGAAGTTCAGCTTGAGTCATGTCACAATTTTGAAATTGTGATTCTTAACATTTCAAAATTATCTTCTTATTGATAAATAATGGATTTGGATAAATAATTCAGATGTCATTTCACCTCCTGGTGTCTTCCTTCAGCCCTTCCTTTTAGTTTATAACAGAAAGTTCTTTTATTAATCTAAATCTGTCTCACTGCTGCTTTCAATACAATATTCCATAATCTAATCCACTCTTCCTAAATTTGTTCTGGGAAAAAGCAATGGGGTGCTACTGGCCAGTGCCAACTCCTCAAGAGACAACTGGGGCACTTTTGGTGAAGTTAGTTCATGAATTCCTGAATTATTTTCCTAAAGATCCAATCTGCAGTGTCTCTAATCATAAACAGGGGACATTCTAAAGGAACACTCATGGAAAGAGGAATATAGATGGAATAAGATAATAATAAAACAGTATTTTTAGAATTTATTTATCTTTACCTAATTTTTTGTTTTATTTATTAGCACTGCAGATTTCTACAATCAAGTGCTGCCACATTCTCCACTGGCATGGCACAAAAAGACAGCCAAGGAGAAATAAAAAAGCATGGAAAATTTATCATAGGGTGGGTTTTTATCTACTGGGGCACTAAAGGAAGTGGTGGGTTGTCAAATTGTTCAAAATAAGATGTGGATGTGGAACTTTTGGACTTGGTTTAGTAGTAAATGTGGGGCTACTGATTCATGGTTGGACTTGACCTTAAGATCTTTTCCAACCTTGACAATCCTGGGATTCTGACTCCTGTGGATCTCTATTTAAAAATGAGTGATTGTTTTAAATCCATCACTAATGAAGTTTCAATGAGCTAGATGACAACCACGACTTAAAAACCCCCCCGCATTTTTCAACAGCATCAACAGAATTTTCACCCATTTCCCCCTCACCCTAAACTCACCCTCTGCCCAAGCTGACACGAACTGCCAAAATCCACGATCTTGATGGCGCTCCTTTTGGGGTTGCAGAGCAGGATGTTCTCTGGTTTTAGGTCACAGTGAATGATGCTGAGCTCGGGGGTGGCCAGGAAGAGCAGGGCCGTGCACATCTGCTGCGCGAATTTACGCGTCAGGTTGAGGGACACGCCGCGGAAGTTGGTGTTCCTCAGCAGGTCGTACAGGTTGTAGGACAGCATCTCAAACACCAAGCACAGGTGGTTCCTGAACATGAAGTGACGCTTCAAATGCACTGGGGGAAAAGCAGGGAAATGTCATTAATGAACCCTGAGAATTGTGGGGTAATTACGACGCAGCGTTGTAGGAAAGAGGAGCAGCAATCGAGTCACAGAGCAGCAATCGAGTCACAGAGCAGCGTTTTTCTTTCCTGGTTCTGTGGTATTTACAAAATATTTCTGTCA